CCCCAAAACCCCAAAACCCCAAAACCCCAAAACCCCGTGCAACTGAATTAGACAAAGCTAATTAGTGCTGAATTGTAAAACATATTGCTAAAAATGTAATTCAAACTAATTAAATATCAAAGATAAATCATAGCTTATATCATAATATAACAATTGATTTATTATTGATTTTTTCCTAAGTCTTTACATAACTTCATTATACAAAATGTAAAACTACCCAAGCATTTCCTTGACAACTGAAACTCAAAAAGATAGCATGCAATCAAATTAAAATTAATCTACTTTAGAAGAGGGCATATCAGATTCTTATTAGAAGTCTGAGGAAAGATAGAGTTTAAAAGGAAAATCGTCTTTATTCGAATAATTGATACATTAGCTATTTATGGATTAAGAAACTAGAGTATTAATGCAAGATTCTAAGTTTTTGTCCTTAGAGAAAGTTCCTTCTATTCTTGATAATTCTTAATCGATCGTCTAGTAGGACTCCTTCTTTGAAGAGATATTAAATTTTTAAAAGGGACATGGTCAAATGGTACTTAGCTAATAGCAGTTTGGCAAAGAAAAAAAATTGCATTTAAAAAAGCAATTACTCGATGTAAATACAAGTGACGGCTAATCTAATACCAATGACGTTTAGATGCCTATTGACAAAATTATGAGTGAAGTATCTGATCTGAAGAATGAGAAACAAATGGATGAGAGTTGCTAGAACAGCAGTAACAATTCGAGCAAGATATTTTAAGAATCTACTAACAAATCGTATTACGAAGATTTGTAAACTTATTAATCGAAGCTTGAAAACAAGCAAACAGAGAATTGTATTGGTAAATTTTAAACGAACCAAGATCTGGACTTAGATGAGCAGAGATGCGAAGCTGAATTACAATTTCGTAGAGAATAGCTTTTGAAATCACTAGAACAAATTGATGATGATGTTTAGCTCGTTGTTAAGTCAAAGCAAAAATCATTATATTTATAAACTAGAAGCCAAAGAGGATCCAAATTTAGAGGCGTGTCAAAAAACGGAAAAAAATGGCAGGTATGCCTAATTCCTAGCTCAATTATTCTTATAGGTAATGATTGTAAAAGGTATTGCAAAGAAATATCTTGGAGCCATTTCTTCGGAACAAAGAGCAGCTAGACTCTATGATAAATATGCAATGATAATACAAGGTCTTCAGGTAATAATCATTAAGTATTTTATAATAATATAGGCAAAAACTAATTTTTCATACACAAAAAGATAAATTGTGTTGCTGCTTGATGAAGATGATGATATATAAAATGAATAAGTAATGAACATTGACAAGCAAAGTGCTTCAACTAGACAACAATAGGTTTATCCTAACCAAAATTTTGAGATCTAGTTGACTCATCACACAAATTAACCATCATAACAAATGATACTAAGACCAACTCCTACTTTTGTATAAAGCTAGCCTACTCAGTTTTTATTTCCACAGCTAGTTACTACACTTTCTCATAGAATTGCTGCACAAACCGAATAGAATTATGGCGGGTATTTAGTTTAGCCTCAAAGAGTTCCTATTTTCTAGCCTTAAATAGCTTCTCTAAGAGCCCTCTAGCCCTAAATAATAACTTCTTCGACTGGTTAACAATTCTTGAGACCCAATATCTTTACTCCTACTTATTGCTTTTAAAACTAAATGAACAATAACTTTTAAGTATGATTTAACTTTGAGTAATCCGATACCTTATTAATTTATTTTATCAAAAAATATACATTAAGTTTCAATTCATAAAAGTTCCTTTTTATTCAATCTTACTTAACTTTTCTACCATTTTTTATAAGTCAAAATAATTGAATTAAAGTTTATCTTATATTTAACTTAATAATATTTAAACAATAGTCAAAAGAGTGTTACGGCTAACATAAGATGAACTATGCTAGCTAAATCCTCTGATGATTCCCTGCATTTAATTATCCTCGAAGCAGCTACTCTTTGCATTACTTCTTTCTTTGAGGCATATGTAGTATTAAAATCTTTATCAGCACCTCCATTCTCATCGAATTCTTCTTTAAAAGAAAAAATCTCATTTGCCATATCACTTCCTTCTAAAACAATAGTAGGAATGCCGAGGTTAAGGGACTAATTAAAAAGATAAATTAAAAAACAATTTTAATAATACTATCTCGAGATCTCTATGGCAATAAGGATTGTCCCCGAGTAGGACGGTTACAATCTTACAACTTTACTTATTTCCACCGAACTTACTTCTTCCTTGGGATATTCTAAATTCATCCATTAGATTAATAATTTAAATTACCTTTGAGCAAGTTAAAATTTAAGCTAAGATTCATCTCCCCACTCGTATTTCTTAGTTTCATCACCTATTAAGAAGAAGTGACTGTGTCCGTTGGTCAGCTCGTTATCTCTTCTCTGAGTGGGATTAATTCTAGGATAAGTAACTTCATTTTCTGGGGAAACTCCAATCAGATTTACATCTAAATATTGAAATATTGCATTAATCTAAGCTAAAAGTACTCTTTCTTAAACAGAATTTTTCAATTCCAGAGCCAACTCCTGAATCTATAACAAAGGCATCTGTTCTAAATGCTGCTCTACAAATTCCTGCTAATGCTTTACCACTATCATAATTAGACAGTCAATTATTACGCTCTTTGAGTTATCGCTCCAGCTAATACAATTACAGGTGCTGCATTAATGAATTTAAGTTTATCACAAATTTCACTAATCCTGAAATCTTTATCTCCTGGGTTTTTTACTCTTATCAGTTTGGCAGTTTTTCCAGCCGGAATAATCATATCATGTAGTGTCCAAGTTTATTTAATCTGACCAGCTGCCGGCTTCTTTTGATTTTCAGTTATAAAAGTCTTTCTAAAGTGTTCTTAATAAGTTTGTTCGTCATTTTAGTATGGATCTTCTTCTTCATTCCTGGTACCAGTCGCATACTCATCTTAATCCATACCGCCAAAGTTCTGGTAACCACCCTTTGTTTCTTCTCCTATGGGAATATTTACATGAAGTTACAATTTACTATCTGAACCATCGGAAGACATTTAAAGCAGATTAAATTTAATTTAAAATTATTAATTTTATGATTTACCATCATAATCTAAGTGAAGGGGTTTTGGGGTTTTGGGGTTTTGGGGTTTTGGGG